TTGCAAAAATCAGAAATCTTTCAACTGCGGAATCTCTAGCTAAAATTAACTCGCCGGTTAAAATACTTTTTAAAGTTAGCGGAACACAAATGCAAGTCATTAAATTGGGTTCTGATGGGCTTTCGTTTTGCCGACTCGTTTAATCTGCTTGCGGAAAGCGTTTTTTGATGAAAGACATGGAAGAATGGCATAAGGAAGTGTTTACGATGCTGGTTTCAATAATTTGGCACAGTGATTTCTAATCGGTCGAGCATCTGCTTTAACCTGACCTATATTTTCTGCGTATCAGCGCGCTCATTTATGGAGCTTTATTATGCTCGGTAAATATACAAAGATAACGTTTTTCCACGTTATAATATCGTTATTACTCGACCTTTTCACCTCCATATTTTGTTTTTTCAAAATCAAAAATACGAAGTTTCCCCATTCTTATCTTTCACCTTTAAATAACCACGTGCATTAATTTTATTGCTTCCTATTTGAGGTGGAATCATTTCACGAATTTCAACCACTTTTTTAACCACATGGAACTGACGATAAAAGAGCATAGAGTCAAAAAGGCAGCGATAAAAAAATTCTAAACATTGTTCCAAAGATTCTGATTCTGTTGAAACACTGGACAAGGTTCTCAGCCCTACCTGTTTTGGGATTTTAGACAGTCAGCACTTCCATACTGTCGAGATTTTGGCTTGTCGTGGGTATGCGATATCATTTACATCACAGAAGGAACTAAGTTGTTTTCGTGTTAGATATAGAATAAAGTAAAAAGCGCTCATGCAGAATTCCAGCCCGTTCTTTGGGACCTGATCCCAGCTTGAATTACCAGCATTCATCAGGTCACTGGTGAAGTAAGAATCATAAGATGGTGAACTGAATATAAAATTGAGTTGAGGAGATAATTGTTTTTAAACTGAATAAAGTATCAAAGAAATCACAATGAGATGTAAACAACTTTATGTTCTTGCTATATCTTCCTTATTTCATCGAAACTTTTGAAATGAAAGATATGAATATTAATTAAATTATGATACATTGTTATAGATAAGGAAGAATTGGTCTCTGAGAGAGAAATACTTAAATTTTATTTCTGTTACTGCATGGGAAGATGAAGCAAGAAGTGGAAACAGCCGCATTGAAATTTTTCAGTCTACTTTAAAATACAGTCTCCAGAACACAGTTCAAATACTTTAATATTATTGGGAATTTTCTCGCAACTGGCTTAAATGCTGCCTGATGCTAGAAGAATTTTTCTAAATACAAATCATTTTAGAAGTACCTAAGACATTCATAAACTATGCTGCGTTTAAGAAATCTTATTGTACTTACTGTTTATAAAACAGCATTTGGAGCAGTGAAACAATGTTGTGATTTTGCTTATAGAAAAGAACAGCACTTAAAATGTTTGAATTAAAGTATTAACTCAGATATAAACATAAAACGTTTATTTATTTTCCTGCATGTCATTGGATATGTTAGAAAATGTTTTATGTGCATTGAGGGGAACAGCAAAACCTTTAGCAACGCTAATGATCCCTATAAACATAAGCGTTTTATATATCTAACTCTGTTAGCCCAATGAAAAAGGTGACTTAGTCTACATGTGAAAAAGTATGCAAATATTTGAAAGAGCCACGTTAAAAAAAGGATAACTAATGACTAAAATGTTATTTATTAATAAGTATGAGCCGGAAAAATACATATATAGTAAATAGATGTTAAAATTATACGAATAATATACATTTGAAATAGAGGGACATAGCTACACACCGAAAAATCATAACTGTTATTTAAGTGTTTAACAATGATTACGGCATGAATTTATTTCTTTAAGCAAAATAAAAATAATAGATGAATGTGGGGGAAAAAATGTCTATTTAAAAGTTTTAAATCAGCCGGCTGCAAACAATCTAATAATAAGAAAGGTCAATCTTTCTGAAATTACTTCAAAAAGTTCAGAGATTATTTCAAACTCAAACTCTTAAAGTCAGTATCTTTGAGACTGGAATAAGATAAGATATCCTCTCTGTTACGTTGATAAAATCAAAAGGATTATTTTTCAATAAAATGTGAAACTGCAATTCATTTTCAAATTTTAAAAATATTATCTCTCTTTGAAATAAAGCTTTATCCTTTGAATTTCCCAAGACACGTGAACCTCAACACAATAATTCCTAAACTCTAGAGATAGCCACAAACTCCTTTCACTGAAATAAAAATATGTGTGTAAGTATCAAAACACCAATGGAGGATAATCCACACGAGTAAAAATTCAGTCACCAGTTCAAGCGAAATAACAAATCAGATCGTTAAATTCAAATACATGTAAATAATTCCGCAACTAGACAACAATAAGCTGCCCAGGTCCGTTTTAGAAGATCCATGTTTTCCTTCAGGATCACATAAAAGACATGATAAAAAAAATATTTATCATGACATTTCCCGAAATAAAATAAACACAACATTTATACAATTAAAACGCACTTATTAATTCTCGATCAATATACGCATTTTGTCAACTGGGGTGATTGGATCCACTTCCCATATTCCATTATTTTAAAATCACTCACAAATTAAAAACCCATATCTAAACTTCAATTTGAGAAACATACAAATTACCCTCACCAGTAATACAGCAAATACTTTCATCTTCTGACATTTAGTAATTAATTAAATTAAATTTCTTAATATAATATTCTATATCAATTAACTCGGTGTTACCTTCTTTGATGAAACATTAAGATTTTCCCTCATCCATTTATTTAAGGTAATAACAGTTAAACATTTAAAAAAATTAATTTTCTCAATTATTAATCAAGTAAAAAGTAACATTTGGGATTTTCATTTAACATTAAAAATGATTGATCATTCCTCATAAATTAACCGTCCAAATATCCTAATAATTAAATAATAAGAAAAAAAGCAAAGGAAGGTGAATCACTCACAGCTTCAGATCTCAAGAGAGTCCATAAATGAAACTGAAAATCTTAAATTCTCTTCGCCGATAAGCATGTTGTTTTTCAGAACTACTTAAATAGAGTCCAAGACATCTAATACGCTTGATCTGATAACTCAGTCCTCAGAAATAACAGGAGAATACAGTAATAGAAATGATCGTCCTTTCCATTATTTTGCGGCATCCTAGTTGGTGATGTAAAGAACAAATTCTTTCATCTAAAACGCATTAAGTCCAGCTACACCGTGCACTAGAATATCAGGAGAATACGGAAACTGGAATGATCGTCCTTAAGATGTTGGCAAAACTCGTCAGACAGAACCTGTCTTTCTTTGGTTTCTTTCCTATACCTAAAGGCCTCGGACCGAACAACACTGGTAGTTCGGTCCGAGGTTCGAATCCCGCGAACGGGCTGGCTACATGGGCGTTTTCGTGGTTTTCCCCATGTGTAACGTGTATACGAGCCAGTTTCCCTTGGAAAGTCCTCCACGAAGGCATCTCTCCCCTTAGGCAGATAGCCCTAGTGTGCTTTGCCATAATTAAATACACCAATACACCTAAAAGCCCCATTTTCGGAGTTCCACGCACCCTTTCGAGCAATCAAGCATTTTCCCTCAACGCTTTAAGCCACGAAACAAATACTAGAAATATCAAGTTTTCAGCCTGAAAGATTCAAGCTGAGAATAGAATGCATAGCTCGGCAGTGACCACAGCAGCTTACAATGATTTTTGGTCCTAGTTACAATCATATTAGCCAAGAATACTGGACTTGCGGACCGCGGTCTTAAAGGCCCACCTCGTGCGCGACGGGAACAACTGACACCCTTTAATTATTCTTATACGACTGGGTTCCCCGTGACAGGGAAGGCTGCAGAGAAATCCCGAAATCAAATTCTTTTTTCGTTCGGAAATCTGGACTCGCAGACTGCGGCTGTTCCCAGGGCTGCCAGGGAGCGATCGAATCCTTACTTCTCGTTCTCTCTCCCCCCCCCCACTTTTTTGTAATTTTCAATAAGGTGAAAAAAATCGATCCTGCCTCTCGTGTAACAATTTTTAAATCATCTGCTTTTAAAATTAAGAACCGCCTCTAAATTTACCATTGAATCGATAGCTATAAATTAATATCTACTTATTCAAATCCCTTCCTAAACTCTCTCTAATTAATATTGATATTAATTTACAGCTAATTCGATTCACCATTGGATCCATAATGAATATCTACCTATTTAAATCCTTTCATAAGTTCTGTCCAACCAACGAGCAAAGGATACAGTAACCTTACGGCCATTTCTTTAAGAAAATTCTAATCCCATTTTAAATGTGACATGCCCTGTTCTCATGCTCAATTTCAAGGAATGTTTTTAACCGAATTTCTGTCAGAGCTGCGGCAACGGCAGTAATAAACGGATCACAAGTTTTCCACTTCAGACGAAGTCGAAATTTTCTCCCCTCCCACAATCGAAAGACGTGTACAGTTTTAAAAGTTAAACGGGGGAGGGGGGGAGCCGCAGCTATCCGCCAACCTATGACCCCAAGAGTGTAGTAGCTTGGGAAATAAAATCACCTGCTTCTTAGCTATACAAGTCTTTTCGCTAGCTTTTTAAGAAATGTTCAAGAGAAAATTGTGTTTAAATGATAATATATTAAATACATTAGGAATTAGCACACAAATATTAAATTCATAAATTCATTTTGCGCTGTGAATTAATATACAACACCACTCTTTTATTATTCGTGATATGAAAGTGCTGTTAATTTTGCAAATAGAATTATTTAATTTTTTGTTTCCGCTAAACTATCATATTTTTCCCCGTTTAGTTCCTTAACTACTTTATCTGTCTTTTTTTTTTTTTTTTTTTTTAAAAAGCTTACTTTTTAAATTTCTTTCTTATGTAATGCTACTATTTAAAGTGTTATTACCTTTTTGTCGTCAAAATTAATGAAATGCTAAGCAGCCTAAAAATCTTCTAAAAATTACAGCAGGAAGTTAGATTGCCGGCGCTGTTTTAAATATTAATCTATACAACTCGACTTGACGCTTACCGGTCCTATAAAGGAGATGTATTGGCACCACTGCATTAAAACGATAGCTTAAGTCTTGTAAATCAGGAAGAGATCATCTTCGAGATGTATTGTCTGACTCTGCTCACGTATTTTGCCTTTGCTTCGTCTGGCATATCAGCTGTCTTTGGCCTTAGTTCTAGTAAGTTTTAAAGATTTTATGAAAATTCTGCTGTGATTTAGTGTTTATTATTTATCGTTTTTCAGATATAAAAATGTTTAGGATGAATTTGCTTGTTGGTTGCTAGGCTGATAAGTCTGCCAGAATGAGCCTGTCTTAATCCTATCGAATATACTTTTGTAGACTATTTTTTAAACCTTTTAATTGGAAACTGAAAGGCTGTTTTTAAAATGATATAGTATTTGAAAAATAATTTTATAAAACTGTCTTCCTTTAATTCTCAAATTATTTTCGCGAAGTTTAACTATATTAAATTTGAATCGGTAGCTGCGATTATTAATCATTTCCCTTATTCAACTTTTAATGCGATATTGAGTGAAAGTTATGGGAACTTATGGAAATGCATAACAAAGATTATTGCAATTAATATGTTGTACAATTGTATTTATAATTTTTTGCTGAGAAGGAAACTGTGAATACTGTTATGTTACAACTCTTACTGACTCTCCCTAAACAACTGACAGTTTGATCTAGAATCGAGGCATGAGAACTATTTACTAGAATTATGAATAGTTGAAAGCAATAGTTTCGATTTCAGATATACAAACTAATACATATTTTTAATATTTTGCGTTTAATTATATTCCTTTCCATTTACTGAAATAAAGAAACTTTAAATTCTCACCTCTGAAATTGTACTTATAAGTAAAATTGATGTGCAGAGGAAGTGATATAAGTGATATTCAGTTATTGCAATCGAATAACAAACACTCATAACGACTATTTCATTGACTATTTCATTACAGCGGTTAGTTCAAAAACGTTCCTAACTGTTCAGAGCATTTTACATATTAATATCATAGCGGTCATTCCCCGTAACGTCATTTTTTTAAGGACGCAGGGCATCATTAGACGTAGCAATCGACTGTATGTGCAAAGTACTCGATACTCATGTTCTTAAAAATGGACCAAATATTTCTAAATATTTCTAAATTTCCGATTTAAGAGGTCTCGTACACCTTAAAACCCATAAGATCTTCGAATATGTAAATGTTGCAAGAATTGGGATAACTTACTTATTTTAAAAGCACTTACTTCCAACTTTTTAAAGGTGACTACATAATACAGCTGCTTTCTGAAATAGTAATCAGAAGTTTGTGTTGCCACAATTATTTTTATAATTTAATGCAATTTGTGACAATGTTTCGTCATGTTTCCACGTTGCGCTTTTGTAACATTTGGCAACTACTGTAAACCAAAAATTCTAAGAATTTGATGTTAAATTTTTTATTTGGTGTTGAGTTTATAAAATGCATTTTATTAAAAAAATTCTATAATATTTTCGTGCATAAAAATTTTTAGTATTAAAATATTAATCAGATTTTTGGTTCAGTTAGAAAATAGTGCCCATATGAAGAATTCCATCAAATTTCAAGTACGTACCATTAGTCATTTTTAAAATATCATGGTGACATGATGAAAAATTTTGTCACAAAGCTGATTAAATTACAAAAGTATTTGTGCTAACATAAACTTTCTGGTTACTAGTTCCCAAAGCAGCTATGCTATGTAGTCAACTGTAAAATATTGGAAGTAATTGCTTTTAAAATAAAATATCCCAATTCTTGCAACAGTCGCATATTCGAATATCATAAGGGGTTTAAAGTGTATGAGCCCCCTTAATTCAGAGCTGTTGGAATTACTGTAAAAAAAGTACATGTATGAAAATAGTACCTTTATTAAGAAATGCTACGGAGCTGTTAAAATTTAGTTTCTTTCAAGGAAAATCATTCACTATATATCAGCCAACAGGATTTTAACTTTTCGTGTTTTATCTTAAATGGAAGCAAAACCATTTCACGTGACAGTTTGATTGTAAAAATTATTACGTTAAGCGTTCTTGTTCATTCTTAAAACTTCGGTTTTGAAAAATAGTTAACATCAAGCAGTTTAAAATAGAAGTCTTCGTATATTTTAAATATTTGAGCTAAATAAGGGCAACGTCTGAATATTCTCAAATCTGTTCGCAATTCTTGTTTGCAGAATGTACAAAAATATATTGCAATTAATATTGAATAAATATTCAAAAAATATATTGCAATTAATTCTTGAAATTCTGTACATTTCACTAATTGGTGGGATCATCTCATAGCTCTTTATCAGGAGAAATTTTGATGTTTATGAAGCTTAAATTATTGTTTATTTCTTTGCTTATCAACCAGTCATATCTCTTTAACGAGGACTTATTCAGGTCGAGCGAGGCCGTGAGTAGGAAATCCTACATTTGTTACTCAATCCCGGTGAACAGGCTGCCTACGGGAAATGAAAGCCAGTTTTCTTTCTTTAAATCCATAATGAAATCTCTTCTGAGGCAGATAACCCTGGTGCACTTTGCCGTAATCTAGCAAATCCAAACCCACAAGACTATTCAATCTACTATACAACAAATAATTACTTTACAAAAAAAAATTGCGATTGCAATAAATGGTATTTTTTGCAGAATTCTGTGCATGTAAACAGTAAAGGCAACCGCATAGGGATTCCACTTGCTCCCTGAATTTTTTGCTTCATTCATTGAAATGTTAATTTTCATATATTGCTGTCTGTACTTGCTAGTTCCGCGGCAAGTTTTCTATTTTATTTTTCTGTTTAAATATTTTTATTAGCAATTTATAGCCAGTTTTTCGTAAAAATGAGAGAGGGCCAATTCCTTTAATGAAAGAACAGTAGCTGAAATAGAGTATTAGACTAAACTTTCCATTATCTAATTTGTAATAAATGCACTTTGGTTTTACTCTGCTGACCTTGCTGGGCTTTTATAATAGTTCATAGTTTCAAATTTTGTTCCAAGTATGATTTTACTTGCGTTTTATTGAGATTCTCCTTTTAAATCTGAGTAACTTTGATCGCTGAACTGGACGGTAGAAATCTGACTTTAGTAGTACTAAACTCAAACTTGTTATGTATAGTTAGGTGATACCGACACTTGCTTTTTTTTTTCCGTTGTTGCAATTAAATCATATCGTTTTCATCATCATTAAAATCGTCAGAAAAGCGATTAAATATTTCAAATGGCGGGTGCTGAAATAGAAAATAACAAATTTATTTTTATTCAAAGAAGCCCGGAAGAAGTGCTACAGCACAAGATCAGCTTGAAATCTGAAAACTGTGCAAAAGTTTCCAATCAAATCATATTTGATTATCAGTTGATTACGGCAAAGCACACTGCTTAAGGAGAGTTGAATTTTTTGGGGCGGGGCAGGACGACCTTATAAGGGAAACTGGCTCATATTTATGTTACAAATGGGGGGGTGGCGAGTTAAGCACGCATACAGCCAGCTCATTAGCCTGTATTCGAATTATCAGCATTCAGGTGTATTCAAGGGTCCATGGCTCGATTGAGATATTTTAATTACAAATGACAATTTTAAAATTTGTTAATTTTTGTAATATTTATTAAATTATTAACATTTCGAACTTGAAAGATAAAATGAGATGAAAATTGAGACTAGAATTTCCTGCGAATAAATACTAAACAAATAGACTGTATAGAGAACTTCTTTATACATGTACTAGTAATTTTTATGTAAAAGTCGCGAGTCAGTTTTTGTATTTGCCTGTTTACTATATTAGTTTTCAGTATAGTACATCGTTATTAAAAAGAATATTCTATGAGATGAGTGTTGAAGAATTACTACCAAAAGCAGTGTTTCTCAATCGGATGTGATAGACGTTTAAGCGCATCTTTCAAACTCCTTGATTTCGATATGGATATGACAATCTTGTATCAATTATTTGCTTTTTTTTAATTAACCTTTTCTGAATGAACATAATTTAATAACTCAAATATTACGATAAACAAAGGAATCTATGCCATTTTATAGAGTAATGTAGTTGCATTTGAAGTTTTGGAGTATTAATGCTCAAAATGTGCGTGTATGAAAAATTCATTTTTAAAATCGAAGTTTATTCGAGAATATTAGTGGCATTTTATTATAAAAGTAATATATAAGCCTTTTCCTTTAGTATTCTCAAATATTGATTGCAAAAATTTGAGGAAGATATATCTTGAAATTTGTCAAATGAAAATAAATCGTGTAAAACGAGAACTCGTTTCCCCTCTCCTTATGCTAAGACCGTTTAAATCAAAATAGTGTAACGTATTCCTTCTAACTGTGTACAGACTGCGTTGATATATACCCAAATCTGTTTCTAAACATCGCTATTTCAAAATAAGAAACAAATAGAAAGTTTAAAATTCTAATGCTTCAGCTAGGCAATCGTGTATGAACTTAATAGTATTTAAATTTTAGCCAAAAATTTAACCTTAGTTTAGGGTAGCTTTTGAGTAGAACTGTCAATTTCAAAGGTGGTCAGGCACGGGCCTTTTTGTTTCAGGAGCTAAGAGCTGTAAAAGAAGTTTCATTTTAAATCTACTGCTTTTTTGCCTAATTTTAAATTTAACTTTGGTACGTTTGTGCTAATTTAATGACAAAGCAGATGAATATTGCATGTGATGGGATTGCAACTAATTGCGTCTTAAAATGTGTAGTGTAAAATGTACAGTATATATTGTAATGTAAAATATATCGAGCCTTACAACTAGGACAGTGACTTCTTGTATCATGAATACCAGTGATTTCATTCATTAATTTTGAGGAATGATGTCGCGAATATGGTATTTTTCCTATTTTTATTTCTATTAAAATTGTTACATGATTTGTTTTAAATTTTATGCTGCTTTCAATTTTTGGGGGAATATACTGCGAAGTAATCCCATTTGAAAACCCAAACCAGAATCTTGAATTGCCCTAAGCTTTTGACTGCTGGGAACGCAAAAGTAGTTTCCTGAAGTTGCATAAAATTGCCCTGCTTGTTACTACCCACTAACGATTTCGATGTTGAGTGCTGCTTCTAAAATCGTGTTACGAACAAAATCTACATGTTCAGTATATTGTTGGTTTAAAAATAAGTCCAGTGAAATGGTCATTGCGTTTCAGAAATCGATTTCTTTATATTTGTAAATTTTAATCAATATGCAGTTGTTTACGGTTATTTGTGTAATTTTGTTCCTTGTATAGTTCCGTTAGAAATTTACTGTAAATCCTGAACTATGAAATTTATCTACTTCTTCCACATCAAATTTTAGCAATAAATTAGCATCACATAAGAGCAGAGTTGAATGAACAGAATTGCTCATTTTTTGTGATCTGATGGTCATATCTGCCGCATAAAATTTTCCGCAGCTGTATAACGAAAGTAGCTTGTTTTTAAGTTTTGTACTGCCAAACCGTGAAAATAAGGAAAACTACGTTTACACAGCCATTAAGTTGCTAGTTACATTGCATGGTTTTCGCTTCTGTAAGTAATAAAAAGCTGTAGGTTTTTGAAAGTGTTTAATGATACATTGTTCCTCAATAGAGAGTATCTTGGATTAATAAAATTTATTTCAATATCCTACGCTGTTTAATATGAGTAAATGTATTGCTTTTTAGAATTATGCGTGAATATTATATGTTTTCCTTGTTTTCATTTTAATCGCAACATATTCTACGAAGGAATGCATTTTGCGTTAAGGAAGATACGAGTTAATATTTATTATTCAGCATCGTAGTGTGCAATTAGTGTTATGTTATAAAATGTGCTTAGCCTCGCAAATCTTCAGACCAGTTCTTATAAGTAAGTGAAGTTATCAGAATTTATTTGAAAATGAGTATAATTGTGTTGGAATTCCAGCATAAATGCTAATAGCTGTCTTAGTATAATTAACCATGTTCAAAAGATTATTAATGCTAATTCTAAAAAACCGAGCGAGATGTTTTTGTCAAGGGCACTGCTTAGGTTTATAGCTTTTAACATGTAATCTGTTCATTTATTAATCGTATTTTTTTTTCTGTTACAGCAGATAGCGAGCACAATTTGGCCAATTATTCTCCTCCTGAAAACATCTGCTATGTAGAGCCTATCGGTGGCATTGAGTGGATTTTACATAAAAGGCGGTCAGATTTCGGATGGAAAGAAGATACCCATCGGGCTATTATCGCGCTTGCAGTCAATGACTGGAAGAATGTGCCACAGTCGGATATTCGACAAAATGAATTACAACTGGAAATTGAAATTACAAGGGCACTGCTTAGGTGAACATATTTGCGCATTATTGATCAATCCTCAGTAACTTCGAACTTCTCTGAAAGCCGCCTCTATAAAAAGTCAAGCTGATCTAGTTTATCACAGTTCACTATTTTGTTGTTTTTGCAGAAAACGTGCTAGATGATACCACTCTTAATTTGAAGCTTATGTTTTCATAACAGTAGTTGCTAAAATCTTAGTTGTATGGGACCGCTAAGGAAATATTTTGTAGTAATATATTCACTTTTATAATTCATTAAATCGCTCATCAGTGAGACATGGAGTGGCTTTCTGAGAAGTTTTCGTATTGAAGTTTTGGCTTAATTATAAAGCTTTGTTAAATAATGTATATTAACACATTAAACCTATTTTAGCTGGCGTTCCGTTCATGCCGCATTTTGTAATCTTTTGGTATAGTTGTAAAGGAAAACATCCCTTTAATTTGAATTATTAAAATATATTTAGTTCCTTTAAAGTCTTGATTGAACAAAGATCTGTATACGAGATATTTAGTCTCATACTCGGTAGTAGCAAAAACCTTGTTGCTATGCCGGTCTTTAAAGACAGACTTGATGTTTAACGTGTTAAGCAGCGATTTTCGCCACTTTGCAAAATTAGTATCTCTGTGAAACTTTTTGTAAGCCGAAATGCCGTATAGCTGTTGCCATTTATTAATATACGAAAAATCTTTCAATAGTCTCAAGCATTCCAAAAACAGCCAATAAATCATGCTAAATAATATTAACAGACGTAGTCGTTACAACCCTCATTATTTAAACGATGTCGACGTACTATGTCGTAAACTGTCCCCAAACAGCCTACAGTTCTAACCGTGGTCGCTTATATAGTCTGCTTGTCACAAGAAATCTAAATAGATTTGCCATCTTGGCGCAGACCCATAACAAGAGCAGTAATAGGTTTAGGGCTTGGGGATTATATATAACAAAAGTGTTTGGAACAGGAAAATGTTTTTAATGCTATATTAAAAGCAGAAGTATGGCAGCCTAAATTTGTATGCGGAAAGTAAACTGGTATGCTATATAGCCTCTTAGCTTAATCTTAGCATCCTTTAAATAACGGGATCGCAATAATAAAGTAACGAAGAAATAGTATAACGCCTGAAAAATATTTAATAGCCCAAAATTGGTGGAACTGCAAGTACACTGAAAGCTTGGAAGTGATGACGCTTAAGCTGAACTTTCGGAGATAGGACAGTGGGAGAAACTGAAGGCTAAGGGTAGTGTATGAAAGCCGAAGATTCTTATCCATCGCATAATAATGCATAGTTTATACGCAATTTAATGTCAAATTGAAGTTTGGACTACCTTGTGAAATATGATATGGTTCTCTGCTTAAACTGATATTTTTCTATCTATAGTTTTTCAAATGCAAGCAAAATAACTAAAAAATGTTATAAACCTGAATTATTTTCCAGGCCATTTTTTCATTAGTCGGATTAAAGACAGATCCCATGATATTAAGTAGACAGTACTTGTAAAATAGTGAATTTATTAAGAATGCCTGCTGAGACTAACAGTTCAGAGGCAGAATTAAAATAAATTTTGGAATTTTTGTGAAACTGTTATATGAATTTTGGACTTTTTAATTTTGTAATAAATTTTGGGGATGAAGCACAAGCTTTTATTGAAACTTCATTCCTAATTTTATTATCGTGCGTATTAGAATGACATCTCCAGCAGCAGTATGGTTGAAACCTTGTACTGCGAAATTGTATAATAACCCACGTAACTCAAATGCTTAACTTTAGGCTGTAAATGACTCAGCGCTTATTTCTATATGCACTGTATAATGTATAAGCACTGTATAAAATGTATGAGAAGTTTATGAAAATTTATTGCACAGCAATAAATGTGGCTGCAAAAACAGTGGTGGCTGACCCTTTGTGCGTTCAAGAAGTTGGAAATAATTTTTCTGTCTGTATATTCCACCGTCCAAACCCGTTAGCAAGAATTTAGCTAAAATTTAGTAAATTCAGTTTGGAAACAATAGCCGTTATATTTGAATTAAAATTCTTGGAAGATGCTATGTTTTTAAAGTTTTTCCGATTTCCGTTTGGCCCCTTAAGGGCTGAAACTTAAACATCCTTATTTGAAAAATATATTGATTGTAACCAATCTTTTAGTCTTTATACGAGTATTGTGGAAATTTAAGTTTAATCGTAATTACATTTACAAACCGCCCATTTTTTGGTAGATCTAATTTTGATGGGAAATTTGACTTCTTTATCGACTGATTTTTGGAGATCATAACGTTATTCATCTGCAGACTGATATTGTAATATGTACCATTGTAAATGTATGTTCAGCTGTAAAATAGTTATGTAGTAATACAAGTTATAAATCGTTAATATTTTCTCACTATTTGCTGAGTTAGTTTTACTAAGTCTAGAGAAGTACCAAGCGCTGGAAAGGGTGCCTTCGTTTGAAGATTAAGGGAAAAGCATTTGTGGTGTGTTCATATGGAGAATCTTAAACTCCAAGCAAGAGACCTTTAAATCGTGAAAATCGGACGCCAGGCTATTTAAGGTAACGTATCCGCTTGGTCACTGACTAATCAAAGTTTGATTAAACTATTTTTAACTATGGCAAGAACAGGCAAGATCTGTACCTAATGGAATAATTCAATTTTTTTATTGAAGAGTTTCATAAATTTGTGCTTTTAGGTTATCTCAAAGGAGAAATACTGTCAAAATATTTTAAATTGCTTTCAATAACCCAATTGTGCAAACTAAATCTCTGCCTAATAATATTCTGTTTCGAAACAATTATCTTGCCGCTAATATTGGTGCAACTTCAAAGGAATTCAGCACTCGCATGAAGATCTTGGAAAGCCCAGTGGGCTATTAGCCCCATGCTGGCTCTTCTGCTGCTGATTCCTTTAAGTTACCTGTTAATCTTTACTAGATCTTTCAAAGGCAACCTTCCTCTTGTATGTAATCCTCGTGTGCTATGCCTTATACAACCGGCTAGCTACATTCCTGCGACCATGGCTGAAGATACGACAAACTAATAGTTAGTCCTTTATTCTATTCCTATTGGTTGAATTGGCTAGCTGCCTATAGTTTTCTTTATGTGCAATGTAAACAGGGTTAGTTTTCTTTGGCGTGGTGCTTCACGAAGGCATCCTTTGCTATATCCAGCTGTCAAAACTGTTCTATCAATATAGCTCATACTCCTGAAAATATTTCACTTCCAAAAGCAAATTCAGTAGCAAATTCAGTATTGATAATTTTTACTTTGCTCATTAAATCAAAATTATTAAACTTCTGAATCGGAGAAAGAATAGAATACTTCTGAAGCTGTGATGCTGTTACATAATGTCGTGAAAAAAGTGGCAGACTGTGCAGTTTCATCTCGGATGTTTCGTTGATGGCGTAATACAGTATGCTTTAATCCGTAAACCAAAAATGTTTCCTGCATTTTAATTAAAATTCCAAACTATAGTTACTAGTAAATCTTATTTCTTTATTTTTTCATAGAGCTAGTATATCTACTTTTCATGCGAACGACTTGGCTCTTTATATACATGCACTCATTGCAATAAATCGTAACCCCCGGGATTTCCATGGTGTCGATTTAGTTGAAAAGCTTTTGAAAGTGGTGGAGAACGAGGAGCAGGTGCATCCTTTCCTAATTCTGGCACTATGCAATGCTAAAGCGGTATCTTCTTATCATTTGGATAGCATAATTTCTTATACTGGGCATGAAGAACGAGAAACAAGCCGTAAAATAGGTAAGTTTGTTCAGTATTAATCTTAATTGTTCCAAGAATACAAGTGTGTGTAATTACATTTGCTAAACTAAAATTTGAGGAACGTATTCTTTCAAAATGCATTTTTGCATTCTCTTTCATATTCAGAAATATGAATAGATTTTTTCCTGTAAACCTTTAGGTTTTCGTTTATATGAATTTATTGTGAAGTGTTAAGTTACCTTTACAGAATTTATTTAATAGCTTTCGATAAGCTGATTTAATTGATTCTGCATAGGTAACGATCATTGTTTTCTAAGCTGGAAAAAACAAAATAATGCACTGAAAGTGAACAGGGCTAAGTTTAAAAATTAATCGCCATTGAAAAGATTTCAAACTCGGATGAGGCTATTTTTGTTATTTAAGTATTTTGGTAGTACAAGTACTTAAGAATTTCTTTAAATCTGTAGAATTTATAACAGATGTAACCAATCATGTCGCAATTGATGCGCTCCTCTGCTTCCTCTCAGATGTCTTGTATTGTGTCTAATGAGCTATACTGATGTCCGAAGTTAAAGTTTTAAACATATTTTTGCAATTACTCAGAATAGCTCTAATATTTTAAAATTTTGGTTTATATAATTTGACGAACGGTGATAACTAGTGAAATCATCTAATACGTTTTTTAAGAGAGCGATAAAATGCCAAGTTTCCAAATCTATGAAATTCGTCTGTAAGTTGTTGCTTGCAGGAAAAATTACGAGGCTGATTTCATTTTAAAATGAGTTTTCGTAGTCATGCAAGCTATCGATGACGATGAGAGATAAAGAACGAATGATACGCTAGAGGATGGCTAGCCTTAAATGACTCGAATGTGGTGGTATTTAGATTCTGGCAACAATTCCAAACTACAGGTTTCATCGCCAGGAAGCCGAGCCAAGACCGTGTGAATGCCGTTTTGCTTCGGAAGACAGATACGTAGCATGACATTTGCGATGCCATAAAAATTCTAAAGAGCTTTTTATTGCATCAGAACAATTTCCTGACATACAATGTACACATGCTTACCAAAAAAAAAATAATCATTTATGTCCAGTGATCAGCAATATGAGTCTTTCACAACAGGCTACATAGCCCCGGCGTCTGCGAAACTAGGTATACTGCTAGATCGGGACATCTAGCTACACAAAATGGGTCGAATCTTCAGTTATAGTCGAGATCAAGTACATAGTAATGCTCTACAAATCATCTGGTGTAAGCATGGAGAACACTCTTATTTTTCCATCATAAGAGAAATCGACTACTTTGGCGGAAAGAGAAGCATCTGCTTTCACGGTCGCACACCGTGTTTCTTCGATATAAGCACTATGAGCATAGCTTTAGAAATGACTTTCTTGAATTTGACTAAGCTTTAGAGGGAAGTTGTTGAAGATGTCATAGATGATAAAGCCAGAGTGGGTTAGAGCCACACTAAGCTCAGCTGGTGTATGGTTTCCTGGAGGAAGAAGGTATTCGGCCTATGGCCTGGCTACTTAAATCCCCTGACCTAAATCCTATACAGCGTGTTTGCTATGCTCTAGGAAGACCCATACAACTCCTCTCGGGAACACCTAGGTATTAAATTCTTGGTTTTAGAGAAAGCAATTTTTTGTCACAAATTATGATCAACAAGCTTATTTAGAATACGAGATCTTTTAAAGCATATAACGCTCTGCAGATTAACCAGATTTCTCAAGTTTTACCGTTGTCATATTTTTGCTTGCATTTTCATGTCTCAAAACATTTACCTCTTGTTTTGTTAAGTTTCAATTAGTTGCCTCAAAGTGTTGGGTACCTGTGTAGAAAATTTAATTACAAACCAATTTCTTGAATTATTTTATTTCGAACCTTAGTTTTGGACACCCAGTATATGATGAAATTCTTGATCCAACGCGGTTACAATTTTTTCAGAAAGTTAGGAGTAGGAAATGTTCGTATCACTTTAGTATTCGATGATGCTTATGCTGAAATAACTTCCTACTTCATGCAGAAAGGACAATAATGAGGCTTATGATGTGACCGATTATCTATTGCCCTTGAATCTATTCATAGTTCTGTTTGGAAAAATACGAGTATAACCGAAAAACTTATTTTGCATTATAACACACATACGATCTGGATCTTTTATGGTGTCGCCGTATGCATGATGAAATTTGACACTCTTTTCATCGGTTAAACAGATTGCTCATTCTGATAAACAGTTTTTCAGTTAGCAAAGTACATGCTGACAACATCATTGCAATTTAGATTTTCGCAGTGATGGTGAATCAATAACCTATTTCCAAGGAACTGTTCTTCTGATTCTTGGATGTGCTAAACTCCAAAATGTTTTCTTTGCCTTTCTCTCGGCCGGAGGCTCTTGGCAAACATTAGTCTGGCCGCTTCTTTATTTTCATTTGCCTAAACCTGCATTTCCATAGCACCGTTTGTCTTCGAAATCCATCGTCCACAACAAACTAAAAATATCTGTCGCCTTATCCGTTGGACAATTCTCAGAAAGGTTATTCGACTTTAAGCTTATGGCGAGTGATAAATCGGAAATATCTTCTTCAAATGAAAATGAATCTGTAAAAATATTCAAATTTTTTGGCCGAACGGTAAAACTACTGAACATTGATAGTTCGACCTAGGTTCAATTCCAGGTGAACGGGTTGGCTGCATGGTCATTTTCGTGGTTTTCTCCATGTATAAAATGAATACAAGCAAGCTTCCTTAAAATCCTGCATTTCGCATTACTCCCCTTAAGCAGATACTTCTGCCGTGGTTTGCCATAATCAAACCAGAACCAAGGAATGGAAATATTTATCGCTCAAATCGTCATCAACACGACACTAGCGATTACCGCATCTGTTGAATAGTTAATAGTTCTATTAGTTTTGCTGGTTAAAACGCAACTCATTTCTCTTTCATAATATGAATCCTTTATCTTTTAATATTAGTAATATCTTCACTTTACGCTTAATTTTCTGAATTCGAAGTACCGGAGCCATGTGGAAAGCCGTCAGGAAAGAACAAAATAAAGTTCAACAAAACCTAAAGAGATACAAATTTAATAAATATGAAATAAAAGCTGTGCCTTGTTACTTAGGGTTCCTATCTAAAATCTATAAAATAGCTCATTCGGGCTCCGGAGGAATTTAAGCCCTGAATATACACCATAATGCACTAGTTCAAAGGGTGATAAAAACAAAGACTTCTTTTTCCAGCACATCAATGAAAAATTCTGATGTGTACACCACATGACTTGTACGGAATATTAAATTATACGCATTTTTTCTTGCATTTTATTTAAACTTATTAGATTTAATTAAACCTACTTTGCCGACAGCGCATAAACCACAATAGAATAAATGCATTTTTTAAAATTCACTTACCATAGCGACACTCTGGCGCTAGGTTTACTTAACATATATTATATTTATATTTCCTTCATATTATAACTCAGAATGCACAAAATGTATATCATTTAAGGAATTGATCGTTGCCACGTGTTCTATTCAAATACTATAATAAAGCTAGAACTATGTATAAAAGAAATTAAGCAAACAAAACAAAAAAGAAACAGTTTTTCACAGACGATTGATTATTTCTCATTTAATTCAGTTCTCACTTCGCGAGAAGGCAAAAATACCTAAACTCAAAATACCTATATTAAAAATTACGAAGTAAATCTCAAAAGCTTATTTCCTCGAAAAAATTCCAGAAAGAATTATGCATGATTTAATGGCAATAATAAATGAATGCGTTAACTTTGTTGTTGCGAAGCTAAGTTTCTCTAGATTGGCAACAAATCCACTAGTCTCCTGTTTCAAATGTAAACATCAATGGCCGCCATTAAAAACAGGCTTAGCGGCAATTAAACAACTTTAAAATTGCTGATAATTCTGAAAATATTGCACACAGATTTACTAAAGGCATAAAATCCTTAACCGGAAGATAAAAACATAATTCAATCATTTTTAAAGCAAAAAATGTACAATTTACAAACATATAAGCGTAAAGAAACTGAGATCACTGAGCCTGGTAATAGAGTGGATATATATATAAACATATTTATATAGGTTTGGTGCTGCCGATTGCAACCAAAATACGAGGTGCACATCTGCATGTTATAGCAGTCCTTATATACAAAATTTCAACGTTCTGAGGCTACTCGTTTTTGAGTTATGCGAGATACGTACGTACGCACATACGTTCGTACAGACGCCACGAAAAGTTCTCTTCAGAATTAATTTTAAAGCAGTTTTATAATTTTTTTGAAGGAAAAGAGTATTTTATTCTGTCCTTACGTACAGATATGACGCAAAAACATCGTTAAACTGCATTCGATAGCGGTCAAAATGGATATTTTCGTTGAAATATGTTGCCTGAAACTTTTCGCGATTACAATACTTCCTTTTTTCTTCGTAGAAGGAAGTAAAAAGTAAAACTATTAAACTGTCGATAATAAGATCATGCTAGAAACAGTTCTGAAGGAAATGAAGGAAGAATTAAACATTTCTTGGCCACGATTCCCTGTAGATAAAGTTCACCCGCTCATAAAGTCATACCACTTAATGAAAAATAAGCCTTTGGCATATGGATGTGGAATTTTCTTTACTTAAAACTCAACCTCCTTCAAAGAATTTGTTTCCCAGTAAAACACAGGCATGGATTCGCAAGTTAGGATGGGTGTTTAAGGCTTATTAAAAATTCTGGATTTTTGCTGAAATTGGGATTTGGTTACAAAAAACGAAATGCCAGTGCCCTTCGGCTAGAATTAAAATTTATCTGGAACTGAAAAGTATCGAGCCAGCAGAATTTTAGCTTTGGTTCAAGATCGTAGATACTTCATTTAGTGAAGTAAAGCAATCTGAGGTTTGTTTCTTCAGCTCTCTTTAACACTTAGGAAATCTATGGAATAGATTGCTAAAAAGTTTGATTTCTAAGGAATTTGCTAAGAAATAAGTTTTGTCGCTGTAAAGCAAATTATCATCTGCCCCTTTTCTCTGGTTGAAGTTTGGATTCTTTTTATTGGTTGCAGCTTGCTATAGCGCTTTTCAGAGTTACACCTTCGTCAAGCTTTCGTGTTACTAAAACCCTAGGTAACTTGTTTACCTGAATGGAAATCGAAACGTTTCCATTGCCTGATCTGATTTTCGTTGGCTTGCAGATTTTTAATGCTAGGCAATATGCAAATGTTGTTTAAAAATATGAAGGAAGTTTTAAATTTTCATAATATTTCTCGCACTAAATATCCTTGAGTATAAACTTTCGTACACTGGAAATTTTGAAAAAGAATTTCCAATTTTTACAAACTTTTATTTCTTAAATGGTGTAACTCATAATCAAACGTTTTGTTTCAGAATATAAAGCTTTGGCTGTAAAAGCACTTGCATGTGCGGAAGATTTGCGTTTAGCTAGTTATCTACATACAAGAGCTAAAGAGCATGGTATTCAATGCTTGCGACATTTTCAAAAAGAGGATGGACATTTTGGTAACTTATACACGACAGCATTATCTGTCCAAGTAAGCTGATTTTAAATATTTTGGTTTCTTGATATTTTTAAGTTCTTAGTTTTAAGTTTCGTAGTTTCATAACATATCCCACATTTAAAAGAGGATGCTACATAATTAACATCTAGCAAAAATGTTCTCATTTGTTTCATCATAAATAGTATGAATATGCAAATACTGAATCTTATTTGGAATTTTGAGTCTTCTGTATTTTGCACGTAATGCTGGTACAGCTCTTTCGAAGAATACTACAGACTCGGTAGCTGAACTGTCTTTTAAAAACATGAAGCCGTCTTCTATTGGCTTTAGTAGCATGAGAAGATGGGTTGTTCTAGATATTAAGGACCGTCTCATACTTTTTAATGATTTAAGCGTGCTTAAATTAAAAGCTGAAAGTTTTCACAACCTAGATTGAGCTTCATAATTGTATATAAACTGAAAATTTTGAAAAATAAAAATGTTCATACCGCAGGTGTATTAACCCTTTAGTGCACCAATAAAAATTCCTTTTTCCGTCAATTTTTTATTCATTAACGCAACATTTTAACATCTTTAACTCGGAACTGTAGTGGATATATTCTCCTATGTTCATATCTGGAAATTCTTGAACATATTTACTCGGGTGCGCGGATGTAATTTAGTTCAGTGTAACAGAGTTAATTTGGTTGAGTGCATTAAGAGATTACAGTTCATGATTATGCACGCAAAAACTGGGTTTTATTTTGATGTCTGGTAAATATTTCAGTATCTAAGATTTCAGGTGTTTAGCCGATATGAGAGGGAAGATTTCTTATAAGAAATATGTGAACTGAAATTTTGAAACATGTTTGCTTCTTTTTCTAAAACGTCTGCAAAACGTTTTGCTAAGAGAAGTCAGAAGCTCGTGGTTTAGCTTTCTGCTCTTAAGAAATATAACACGTAAAATTCAAGTAGTTTCCGATCGGGAAAATTCTAAAGTTTAATAAGAGGGCAGCTTCGATTATGAACTAATTTATTAACCTGTATAAAACCATCGTAATTTATGCCAAGTGTGCTTTTCTGTACCGTGAATTTAAAATTAATCTTCATTTTGCAGGCTCTTATAGCTTCCAACATTTTAGACGGCTGGAAAAAAGACGAAGCCATTGAGTATTTAAAGAGCCAATCAACAGTAAATGTGAACATGGTCTCCACTTATTATATACAGTTAGCACTGAATGCCCACCGATACAAGTTCGTCAAGGATATCCATCCGCATTTAGTCATAGGTAAGTTAGAAAGGGAGAATTGCTTTCATGGCAACATATAACCATCTTGGAGTTAAAACGCTAAGTCCCTCCCCCCTCGAAGAGATTAATGTTTAATTTTGGCGGTTTTGTATTATTAGTATGCCAGAATAGGTTGGGTTTCTCTTTATCGTCTGCAGCAATATCCTGTTAGGAGGGGAAAAAAATTTGCGGGGAGGGGGCACTGATTGAATAAAACGGCGTGCACTGAAATGGATTCTAAAGGATATAAGCTAACAGGTAAACAATCTTACCATACCTTATTTAAAGCTTTAATAAAAACTCTAAAGCTGTTCTGAGTTCTTCCAATGTATTTCTGTGTAGCTTACCAGTGCTTTGAGACTGAACAACACTAGTTCGTACATGTTTCCATCCTTTTCACCCTTAATTAACCAATTTAAGAAGTCCTCTTGGACCCTTCTTTTAGGTCGATAGCCCTTGCATGCCTTCTCCTATTCGACTAAACATACTTCTTTTACAAAGAGGTTTAGAGGCAGTTCCGCACCCTGTGTATTTCCTCTTAAAGAAATATTCATTGATGGTTGCGAAATCGTAGTTGGTATAATTTAGTAATATTCAAGCATCGAAGTCCTACGTCCTTAGTTCCTTTCGATCTATTAATCTACTACTTCAGCAAAATTTTAAGCTACTCGAATGCATGAATATGGAATTTAACAGTATATTTGTGTTATTGCATGTATTAATGCTGTCTTGTAGACATTTGTAGTTTCCCATCGCACCTATTCAGTCTTCGGGTGTGCTTTAAAATTACCAAGAGATTTTCGTCTGTCTTTTAAGAAAAAAGTTTTAATTATAATTAATTTTAAACTTGGTTACGTTAGTTTTGAGAAATGCTACAGCGACTTTTAAGCACTTCTTATACTGCTTTTGCCTCTAAATTTACTATAAAATTCCGATTTTGTTTCCTGGTGCACCAGAATGGATTTGTTCTTTCTACTTTTTCCAATGAAATTTAAATCTTCACAATCCTTCGTTTTGAATTTTTGAGTCTTTTTCTGAGTTGTTTGTTGAATTGAGGATGTTTGCATTGTGTTTTACATTGTGGTCCACACCTCCTACGATATTTCTTGTTCTATGCTTTTTGTTATGACAATTCTAAATTTCTTCATGAGCATTTTCGTATGCAATCATTAACTGGCAAATTAATCAGTTCTTCTAATTTTACTTGCTCAGAAATTTTATATTAACAACCTGTTATCGAAGAATTTCTGAGGAAGATTGCGCTAATGCAATGCACATCCGACACTTGGATCTAATGCAATGCACATCTGACACTTGGATTTTTTTATCATTCAGATATAGATTTACTATACCAATATCGTGGACGTTACACCAAAGCGTTTGTGTTAAATGACAGTTAAAAATCCTTTAATGGTTGTATTGAGCAATAAGTATGTTATGCCTCTAATTGATCCTTGTTCAAAATCCATTTTGTTTGGGATTCCACTTAGTTTTTTACTGTGAATATTTTGTGCTTCTTTTTATTGAGCATCAGGACATGCCACAGCCCTTTATGTCCATCCATTGAGCTACCAAATGTGGTGCAAGGAACAGAACTAATCAAAATTTTTGTAGCTGCTTTTGAATATTTCATGTATGAAAAGAAAATGTGCTATGTTTCATAGCTTTTTGCCCTGTTTTCACTGCTAAAGATACAACTGTCTGTAATTTTATAACACAAAAAGATAAAATCGGTAGAAGCAATTATCAGCTATTCTGATCACTGTTAATGAATAACATGCAGCAATTTAAAAATGGTCTAAAAGACTTCAGATTCAAAATACCATTATTGTAAATATTATGCATATGAAAAAAGGAAGAAACTACAAAACTAATATAAACATTATTTAATTAAAATAAAAGTGGATTTTTTTAAATTAAAAAGAAAATAAAGTAAAATTTAAAAATATCGAACACGGTACATTTATCAAGGAATATGAAACTTGTTTCAAATCTACAGATTACCTGAATCAACTTGTGCTTTTAATTACTGATGTACATCGCTGAACGTACAAGCATTGTCAACGTCATTCATCTGTGTACTGTTTGCACTGGATGACATGGCTTATTGTTATTTTGAAAGATGTATACATAATGTTTTGAAACTTGCTGATAATTGAAGGAAGCATTTTTCTTTCAACCAAGTTAGCATAATATATTGGATCGCATTCATTCTTCTAATGTGAAACAGACCCACTTCATGCACTGATATACAGCCCCATATGCTAACTGCAGCAGGATGCTTTATTGTTGATGCAGTACAATACGATTTAAATCTTTCATTATGATGGATGGCGTCATACAAATGTGGCTTTTTATCGAGTGTCAAAGTTGTTTCATCATTCCACATAATTTTACACTGTTGATCCGTAGCCTATGGTACACTGCGCAAAAAATGTTCTATATCTCGCGTTCTGGGCCAATTGACGAAATTCAACTTGCGTTTTTCATGTCTCGAAAGCCCGACTTAGGATATGAATTATATTTATGTATAACATTGTTCTAATATAGCTATTTTGATACAAAATTAGATTTTTTCTGAAATTGCATGACATTTGTTTTCCATAATTCGATTCTACGACTCAAATTATGCCAAACTGCCAAGTTTTGTAAAAACCGCACGAGTAGTTTTAAAAAATTAGGTCTCAAAATTTTAGCTCCTCCATATTGATTGAATTTGGCATATATTCTTTTTTATTAAACTTGATTCTTAATTTCACATTTCGAAATTTAAGTTCATTCCAAATAAAATTCATCCAATTTTTACGACTTATTTTTAAATGGCTTTTATAAAATTTTTAACATTTTGAAGTAGATGTATTTCTTAACACATCTGTAAGAAATTAAGAATTTTTATTCAGAATTTTCTAAGATGTACGTGAATTTACATATGGCGCGTTCTGAATTCGGAATATTCGTTATAAGCGATAATAACGCCAAATGTAGTTTAACCACTTTGTAAAAATTATTTGAAGGTATGAACGATGACTTTTTCCTCTCGTCTGCAATGGAAAAGGAAAATATGTTGCTATAAATTGAAGTTCGCCAAGTGAATTATTCTTGGCGCAAACTGAAAAAACTGCGCCAAGTTAAAATTTTGAATTTCTCCCTAAATTTTTCACCAAATTTGCAAAATTTAATGTTTAGGCATAATTTGAGTAGTAGAATCGAAATATGGAAATAAATTGGCATGTCATTCCAGAAAAAGTCAGATTTTGCGTCGAAATACCTCTATTAGAACAGTTCTATATATAAACCCAATATATATCCTAAGCTGTGCTTTTGAAACATGAAAAACTCAATTTGAATCTTGTCAATCGGTCCAGTAGAACCAAAGATATAGAACTGTCCCATTTTCTTTATTCTTTTTTCGCAGAGTACGTGATCATGTTTGTTGCAATCACTTAAGCCTCCATTTTTCATTAATGGAAAGTTTTTCTTCATAGACTTGATTCTCTTTTGATTTTTTTTTCGGTCCCTTGCAGCCTACTTCGAAACGTTAATCAAGTAGTGTATTCACCAGTTATACCCCAGTTCTTCATAACTATCAAAACAGTTTTTGAAAGATAACGAACAGAAATTTTGTTTCCAATCATGCTTTTCCCTTGGCCTTTCCTTTCTGCGAACGATCTTCTGAATTTCGAAAAAAGATAAATTGAAGTTATTAATGCAACTACTAACTGTAAATTATGGACACTAGATAGACCGTATAATAATTTTAGCATTTATAATTACTTTGTTCATCGACCTAATTCTTTAAACAACAAAAGGAATTGAAACTAAGTTTCTCAGTGTTAAAATCTTTCTTTGTTTTAACTATTTTTCTGTTTTTAAAGGACAGCCATAATTCGAACATAGAGAGCAAAAAAAAAAAAGCAGTTTTAGTTTTTATTAGTTAATTGTTTTATATGATCATTCTTTAACTTTTCAAGTAATGGTGTTATTTTAAAACGGCAAAATGTTTTGAATTGTACATAAGATAATATTTAAAATGATGCATAATTTAACAAATTGGAAGTTAATTTTGAAAATATTCTCATAATGACTTATATTCCCAGAATGCAGGTTTTTAAGGTGTTTCAGAGCTTTCGCATCAAGCTGTAGTTGAATTTGTTGCACTTAACTTCGTTGAAGCGTCGTAACTTCTCCTTCGTGAAATGAATTACAAATGTTTTAGATTATGATGCAACTTTGTTCAGTGAAGTTCCATAAATTTCAATTCTTCATTTCAACTATTCTCTAACTGAGCTGTTACTTTACCTTTAACGCCTCCATGTCTATTTTAAATGCGTTACATCAAGACACAAAGGTTTGTAAGATGACGCTAGACATAGTAACTTAACCTTTTAGGTTAAAACTTCATTACTTCTTTGTTAATTTTCTTATCTATTTAAGATAAACCACAGTAGCCTGAAAAAACACTTAAGAAAGATTTATGTTTGAATGCCAGATCTTTTGTAAAAAAAAAAAACCTGTTTTTCATGCTCCTAGAATGTTGTTCATGTTCCAGTTTTTTCTTCCTCCTTTTCCTTGAATTGTGCTTTTAAATACTTAATATCTATTTTCCTTTGGTAGAACGTGCTCCAGAAAAAGAATGGTATCACAATTTCATCCACTACACCATCAGAACAAGCAAAAATCCAGATGTATATTTTACCATCACTATAAACGCTGCACCAAATACTTCGTTTTTTGATATCATGAAACTGAGTCAAGAACATGATTCTAAATTCAAGTGAGTACTTTACTGAATATATTGAATAATTTTCCTTTTAAATTTTTCTATGCTACAATAAACTTTCCTGCTGGAGCGCTCAGTTTCTTATGAATTTAGCTAGCGATGAAAGAGTCCTGGAGAGTAATAAATGAAGATGGTTACAAATTTTTAGAAGGCTTGCCCGCTAGTCTTGCCTTTAATGAACTTTGGGAAAATGGGTTATTTATTACAGGTTCTTCACATAAACCGTTGTTCATTACTTATAAACACACTATCTCGAATAATAGAAGACATATTACGATTCCGTGATAAGACATATCATAAGAGATCCTGATAATATGATCTGATACAAGAAATATCAAATCCAATTAGAATATAAAAACTAAAATTCTCATGTCCGAGTCACGAAAAGAATGTCGGTTAAAAGGAAATGAACGAAATAAGACAATACTTTAGAAACGAAGGCAATATTGAAGAAAACTTACGAAACTATTTTTAATTTTAGCTAAAAATGGAAGCTTTTCATAGATAAAACATCGACGGAGAGGAATTCTAGACTTGTCTAGACAAATTTTTCAAAATCTCTTGGAGATGAGAATGCTGAATGAAAAGTAAACGAAACTCCTTTAAGTTGATATTTAGTCATTAAGGACTCATCAAAGACCTTTCCTGTGATACCGTGCAACTGAAAGGCCACGTTCATTTTTTCCTTTCTTCTGCCTCGATCATACATGGGGTATAACAAAGAAAAAAGGGTGAAATTCTGACTATAATATAGGATGGGGAAAAAAAAGGTAGCTCGCAGGGTGCCGAAAATTTCGGCAGGTGAAAAATTTGTAGTATTTTTATTATTCAAAACCTTGGTCTGGAGATGGTTGAGAAATTAAAAGAAAAGGAACGCATTTTAAGATTAATGGCACGTATTCGCATTACCCATGCACAAAAAAAAAGGGGGGGGGGGACTTCCTTGCAGCTAGTTCGTTCGTCGTACTTTGAATTCTCTTAGAACTACCTCTGGTCCGCGATTTTAACGCTCTGCCACCCGTGGTCTTGGATTTCTGAAGCTTTTATTTCGGTCATTGTAAATAGTGCAAAAAGATGTTATTGTCACATCTCATTTATACATTTAATCCACAATCAGCATATTTATCGCAAAAAGTGTCCATTGTACTGTCTTTATCACGTTAAAGTATGAAGCATCTTTTTCATAGTAAAATGACTTCGAGAATTTTTGTATTCCGATTGAATTTTTTAAAGATTAAATTTTCATCAGTTCTATTTAACTTTAAGTTACTGGGTATTGCAGCTAAAAATATGTCTTTAACTTATCTCCTCACATATTTTATATTTTTGTTGCAGAAATCGATTAATTTAGCTGCTTTCCAAATTTTTAAAGAAATTTTGGAAATTGTGAATTTGCACAGTATCGCAAAATTTCCTTATTTAAAAAAATTTCAACTGCTTAGCATATTATTATGTGAATATGAATTTCTGGATGTGTAGATTTGTTTAAAAAAAATTGCAACTTTGGGGTTAGAATACCATCTTTCATCCAAAGTTGTTTCTATTTTTTTAAGAGTAAAGATCTCTAACTATAAGCACTTTGATTTAAATAGTTATGATATACTAATTTGAATTAAATTTTTTAGTACTTTTCCGTTTGGCCGGCGCAAGCGATAAAGTCGCCTAAAATGGTAGAACTGATGCCAAAGCGAACATCTTCGCTGATAACCTTTCACGGCACTTTTTCAAAACAAGTCGCTGAGATTTATTATCAGATTTACTTTTTTTTTTTTTTTTCAATATTGGCATACAGTTACATAGAATTTTTTTAATTATAATATTGAAATAATTCTTGGATTTAAACTCGTATTCCATACTGAGATTTAACTTGAAATTATTGTAGATAACTCCTGAGAGAATCAGATTTTTGTAGCGTATTTTACGTGAGATGAGATCGTTTGGGATCACGTGATATTAACCTGCGAATCAAGAGGTTATACCATGAAAGCATAGTAAATCTTTATCACTTAACGTCTTTAAATTCTTAAATTAACGTCTTTTACAAATATGTCAAATGGATGAAAAACGAATGAAAATTTGGGATTTGCCCAGGACAGAGGAAGAAACCGTCAGATTCTTTCAAGCAAAAGGCGTTTTGCCTAACATTGCTATTTGTGAAAATAATCATGAAATGAAATTACATTTCGGAGACGAAATTCAATGGCGTTGCAACCTTTCAACTTGCCGCAGTAAAAGAAGTATACGGAAAGGCACATGGTTTGAATCATCGAGGATTGAGTTTCTTGAAGTGTTTTAAGATTCAGATTCATTTATGGTTGGAGTGAAGAAGTTAAATGGTTCAGTTAAATGGTGTGAAAAGCAGTTGGAAATCAGTCACGGAACAGTTGTGGATTGGAATAACTACATGCGAGAGGTTTGTGTGGATTCTTTACTTAAACGTCAACAACGCAAAATAGGAGGCCCTGGTATGATCGTTGAAGTGTTTGAAAAAGTATGTTCACGAAGCGCAAAAACAACGCGGGACGGATTTTACCACAACAAGTGGAATCTTTGGTTGGAGTTTGTCGTGAAACAAACGAATGTTTCCTTGTGATGGTGCCAAACCGATTCATAAATATTATATTAGAGGCAATAAATGAAAACATCGAAAAAGGAACAATATATTCCGGTTCATGGAAATCATATTGCACTGAAAAACTGGAAGAGGAAAGTTTCGAACATTTCAAAGTGAACCATAAATACAATTTTGTAGATCCGGAAACTGGAACGCAGACGCAAAAAATTGAAAGACAAGCGCAAAATGGCGGAATAAGAAACAGAGGAACTGCTCGGCATCATCTGGAAAGTTACCTCGCCGAATTTATGTGGCGAAAGGACACAAAAGACCCATTTGAAAAAATTCTAAACGATATTAAAATATTTATGCCTCCAAAAAATAAAAAAAAAATGTTTAAAAAAATTTTAAAATTCTTAGATTATTAAGATTTTTTAACATTTTTTTTATGTGTATACTGTGTGTTGGCGCCAATAAGGTCTGCTTGGCGAGATTTGCGCCGGAGAAAGGGAAATGGCGAGGTTTGCGCCGGCGAAACGGAAAAGTATTTTTTAATTTTATTATGCTGATGCCTAATGATGTGCAAATGATTGCTGAAGAAAATTTATACTGGCGATTATGTTTACAGCGAGAAGTACTTAAAAATGGAAGTCGAGACTCCGAAATCGTGACAATTCCAGAATGTAAGTACTCTTCATGTTTCCCGGAGAAGTCGGCTGTTGGTAAACTTAGAAGCAAAACAGCTTACTTTTCGATTAATCATGACTAGTTAGCCTTTCTTTGTTAATTTACCCAATATATGTATATATGAATTTAGAATAACTGGCTAACAAATCTAATAGTGTCTAAGCAAAAGCTTAAACCTACAGAATAGTATTGCTGCAAAATCATTCTGTAAAGCACTCCTCATACGGAAAAAACTCTAGAAGGCTTTTTTCTAATTCAATGATTCAGTTCCTAATGCACTTAAGTGCAACTATTCTAAACCGAGAAGGAACTTTTAAACTGTAAAAAAAAAATTAAAATATTTACTTTATTAATAAATATTAAAAATATAGGCTCTTCAGTATATGTATAAAAACATTTGCAATTTTTGTTTCTATTCTAATTTTTTAGTCCTGGGGACTAACCCTTGGAACTTTAAACTGGAATTATACATGAATTTAAATTAATAATTTTAAATCTCAATAAATAAGAATCTGCCTGGCTTAATGGAATTTTCCTGTTATTGTTTTGTTACAAAATAATGGATTGAAATATACTACCACTGCCGTACTTGCATATTAACGCAAGTACTTTAGAAGTCGCAAGTTTCCGAAATGCGCCACATTTTAGCAAGCATGCACATAAGTTCTTCTGTTTCAATAAACATTTTTGAGCGCGTTCTTTTTTTATTCCAAAGATAAATAATTCGTGATATTTTTTGCTTTCAACTAAATTCTAATGTGTGTGCTTGTGGGATTTACTTGCAATAAAAGAAAGTAATAAATTTCTGTAGGAATACAGTAATTTGCCGTAAAATTGTTAAGGGAATAATTGCTTTGAATATATATTTGCAGCGACTACCACGAAAATTCTACCAGGACAAACGAAAAAAATATGCTTGTAAGTAGGTTTATTGATTTCTGGGATAAATAGTTAGTTAAAAATTAAAATATGTAATTTTTTACAATTGTTCTTTTTCCAAATCTCCAAAGTGCACAAGGTGATTGTGCTATTACGTACTCATCAATATTTCTTGCAGTAATTGCCGTTCGGTATACATGCCATCATTTATCAGTCGGATTTGACGAAGCATTCCTTTTCATTCATAATTTTCGATACGATAGATTTTCACCTTGAAATATAAACTCTTTGACTTTACTAGTGGCAAGGTATTAGTGACAATTACAAGATTTACTTATTAGTTTAACGGAATGTAGGTACCATTAGTAAGATTATCTACATGACTATAAAAAAGTACAATATTCTTTGTTTTCAATTTAGTAGCAGTTATAGCAAATACATTTGCACATTTTTATTTGTATTTAGTTTTTATTGCTTAATATTTTAATTTGGTATTTCTTACATAAAGTATTATCTCTGTGACCACGGGTGCAAAATACATTAAAACGTAAAAATAAAATTCGTACCATCTCTTCCTGCGAAACCGGAAATCCCGGTTTCTGCCACCTGCTGTAAGAACGTTCTTCAGGTAAACACGTTACTCACAAACCCCGCGTTCGTAGGGTTAATACAGTTATTAGGAAACTGCCCTTGCATTTTTTCATCATTTATCTATTTAACCATTTAGTTTAAACTTCTTCCGCTGCTACAAAAAGTCCAGCCAGTAATGCTTTCACTGGCAGTAGCCAATGAATGCAACTGTTAATTCACCACCTTATTATCTCTAACTGTGCATACCATATGCTGTGGTAAACAGAAAGGAAGTAACTCATGTGTTCATTAATCGTGACACGTACATATATACCGTCTTAATTTAAACATGTAGTGTATATTTGTGTACTTTACTATTAATGTAAATTCCAATGATTGGATTAAAAAAAAATTGTATAAACTGTTCATTAATTCTGGAATTGGTATATCTTTTGAACAGCTATCACAAAAATTAGTTTGCTTTCAGCATAGTTAACCTGGCTGTTCTATTTGTATTATAATTAAAACAATGCATATCATTTTATAGAAATCCTCTAAGTTCTAGAGAACTAATTTAGGAATACCTAAACGTAAAATATGTTTAAGTATTCCTAAATGCAGAAATTTCAGGCTTTCCGCCAATATGAGCTTTTACTTTATTCTGAAATTTGATTATTCAAAACTATAATTCATTAATTAAATATTTTGCGCTTTTCAGCTCCACAGGAATTTATACCTGGAAAGGGTTCTCATATTATATTCTGGTACAAAGATTCGCAGTGCGAGAAGTAACCTTCATTGCAAATTGAGGAAAAATTTATTTCACGGATACTCATTTGATTGTTATAAACGTATCGGCCTATTGTTATGAACAGGTTAAGTAACAGACCTATAGAATTGAATTGTTTTGTTTCAATGTTTAATAAAATTTATTAAGTGTCTGTCTTATTTTACTGCGTTAAAATCTGAAGTAAGTATTAAATTTAATTCGGTGCTTTATTAATTACAGTAGAGACTACAAAGTGTAGCTGTAATTAAGCAATCTTGAGTAATTTTCTAAACGATTGCTCACTCTCATGCAGACTTTAAACCACTAAATTTTCATTAAAATCTCATAGATGTGTTTATTAATATAAGTAAAATTATTTCTATTCTATTATTCGTAAATTTCCAACTTAGAAAAGCAAACTCAAAATTTTTCTGTCTTCGTAACATTTCAGAATGTACACAGTAGACTCCTAAATAACCAACCTTAACAGGACCGAATATTGGTTTGAATAATTTAAAATCAAAATCAATTATGTACAATGTAATACGTATTTTTTAAAGAAAATTTAAAAAATTACGCATTACATTGTACGTACATAGTTTCTGAACTAAAACTTTATAAAGTACCTTAATTCGGCCCACCAGTAGCCGAGCGGTAAGGTCCTTGAATACTGGTAGTTCGGTTCGGAGTTCGAATCCCGGCGAACGAGATGCCTGAATGCAATTCGTGATTTCTCCATGTGGAACGTGTATACGAGCCAGTTTTCCTTAAATTTCTCCACAAAGGCATTTCTTCTCTAATGTGGATTGCTCTCGAATGCTTTCCCATAATTAAATAAACCAAACGAAATATCTTAATTATTCTTTTGAAAACAGTCAAGCATGGTTAAAAAAACAAATTTGTTAAGCGTTCAGTAACTGTGCATTAATCCATGCTCATCGCATTTTGTCACGTGACTTGCAGTCTCCCTTTCGCGGCAGAGAAGAATCTTCATGAAAAATGTGAATCACTAAGTCATGTTTGAAAGCGGTTTAAATTTGAATAGTACGGATTTTGAAAGCCGTTTAATTGTACTTCGAAAAATTAGTACATCGCAAGTTAAGGCCACCCACTATAGAATCCATTCCTAGTTTTCTTCTAGACCGGCTGTCACCATGAGGCATTTTCCGATATCTTACAGGTCAGTTTCCTCTTGGAAAATTCTTTATGAAAACGTTCCTCTTCATAGTATTTGGTCCTAACTGGCTATGCCGTAATATATTAAAGCAATTCTGTACAGCAAGTCTGTTAAAAGCAGTGCGTTGTAACGAAAAATATAGTGCCATCTACTACAGAAACACGGCATTACTTTTCAAATCAATCTCGATTTAGTATATATAAGGTGTTTCAAATTCAGCTTGCGATTTTATTGAATATTGTTTTACATGTTCTTCGAAAATTGTTTGCAATAACTAGCAATTCTTGGAAGCTTTTGAAGATCATTTATGAAAGCCTCTCCGATACTGAGCGGCAAAAGTACCGAAGGGTTTTTATTCTGATACGGAAACAATTGCTTGGGTTTCAATTTCCGTGTTTCAGTCATGACTGCAATAAAAAGAATGAACTGGCCTCAACACTTACTGCAAATTGTGCAATAGGTATCGTATTTTTCTGTTTATAACTATTTAAAATCTTTGCAATTATAGAACATATTTTCATATCCAGAAATTCTTAATATTGTTTTTACGGTTGCCTCTTGATATGGTTTTACAATTACAAGAAGGGATTCAGATTTATTAAATACTAAGCATATAAAAGCTAGCTGCCTAATAGCAGGGGCATCTTCGTGGAAATCTTTCTAAAAGAAATTACCTGACATTTACTTTATATACAGATATGTGGAAAAGCAATTTAAATGCTTTCGCAGTCGTTTTGGTTTGAATCTGTTGGCAACCGCCGTCGATTCCCCTAGCGCATGCGCATGATAAGCAAGTTCTCTGCTGCGTAATACTTATACTTAGTTAATATTTTTCTATGGAGTTAGCCAAAGTCAATGGTGAGTGTTGCATGTAAGCGAAAAGTGCTAAGCGCTGTGTAATATCATGTTTCTACTCTGCTGTTCAACGTCTTCGTAGTTTAAATAAATGTTTGTCATGTGTGTGGAAGACGTCATTTTATTCTTCATAGGTTTTGGGCCCAGATAGCGCTTAACTGTGCAGTGCAACTACCATTGTTATATTCTTTCGGCAAGCCAAGCTGCGTCGACTGAAATGAAAATGGCGACGACTAATACAGTGTCAATTGAAAAGCTAAACAAGGACAACTTTGACACGTGAAAGTTGCAAATGGAAGCAATACTGATTAAAAATGATCATTGGGACTATGTAACTGGGAAAATTCCGAAACCAGAACCTGGTGATGAAGAATTTGCTAAATGGAAAACTACTGACCAAAAAGCACGAGCGGATATAATCCTATCCATCTTACCCAGCGAACTTCCACAAGTAAAGAATTGTGTAACATCTCACGAACTGTGGCGTAAATTGCATTCTATTTACGAATCGAAGGGACCAGCTAGAAAGGCCACAATTCTAAAAAAATTACTTTTTACAAAATTGAGTGATTCAAAACAAATGACTGATCATCTAAATGATTTTTTCATTCTTGTGGACAAACTGAAAGAAATGGAAATAAGCATTGCGGATGATTTGCTTACAATATTGCTTTTATATAGCATACCGGACTCTTATAAAAGCTTTCGAATAACAATCGAATCTCGTGAACTGCCTTCTCCAGAAATGCTGAAAATTAAACTGTTGGAAGAAGCTAAAGAGCTAACGCTCGCAAAAATAAGATTCAACGTTTTCTGAACCACAACATGCGTTCTATTCGAAAGATCGAAGTAAGAGTATACTCAACGACCGGTTCCTAAACCGAAACCAGATAGTCTGCAAACCGAAGACAGTATCCAGTTAACTACAGATGCAACTTCTGCCATATCTATGGGCATAGAGCATCGGAATGTAATATAGGAAAAAAAATAAAGAAACTAAAAGCAAACGCCTCAGTGAAACTGCGATGTCTACAGAAATTCGGAATTCCTTGGAGCGAGAAAAAAAAAAAGCCGCACTAATACATGCAAAAAGTAATTCTAAAGACATTTTTTGTCTGGATAGTGGTGCAACATCGCATAGCATGTGTAACAGCAAGGAACTGTTTCAAGATTCACGAGGAATTCAAGGTTGGACGAGGTAACACTTATGTTAAATTAAACTGTTAAAATGTAAAGCTATTGGAAAAGGAACTGTTAAATTTAAAGTTCGCATAGGTTCTAAAACTGAAAATATCAAACTCAAAAATGTATTGTGTGTACCTGATTTGAAAAATAATTTAATCTCTGTGTCTAAAGTAACTGATAATAATCTTTCAGTAATTTTCAAAGAAAAACGTGCTCAAATAATTAATTCTAATAACGAAACAGTAATTTTAGCTAAACGTGAAAATGATCTTTATTTTGTCATGCCAATATTTGAATCTGTATCAGTTGCTAAAGAAATAGATCAGTGGCATATAAGATTTGGCCATTTACATGAAAATAATCTTAAAAAACTTCAAATAAATAACATGGTTAGAGGTCTTTCTTTTTCTCAAAATGACTCTTTCTATTTGTAAGGTATGCATTCAGGGTAAACAAACCGCAACCCCTCTTCCCAAAGAATCTGAATATAGAAGTACTGAATTGTTGAATTTAATTCATTCTGATTTGTGTGGTCCCATGACAACTGAATCAATAGTGGATCATTTTATTTCGCAACATTTATTGATGATAAATCTCGATATGTTCGTGTTTATTTTCTGAAATCTAAGGATGAGGTTAAAGAGGCTTTCAGAAATTTTAAAGCATCTTTTGAAAATAAACTTAACTCTAAAATCAGAATCCGGCGAACCGATAACGGGCTAGAATATTTAGGGAAAAACTTTAATAAATTTCTTAACGATGCGGGAATAAAACACGAAATGAGCACTCCTTACACGCCAGCCCAGAATGGCGTCGCCGAAAGATTAAATCGCACTTTGGTTTCAATGGCGCGATGTTTGTTATTGCAATCCAATCTGCCTCAGAAATTCTGGGCCGAAGCCGTCAATACGGCTGCTTATATTCGAAATCGCTGTCCAACGCGAGCTTTAGAACACGAAATAACACCTTACGAAGTGATGTTTGGCAGAGTACCTGCTGTCTCTCACTTCAGAACCTTTGGCCAAAAAGCATTTTCGCACTAAATAAAAGGCCAGGAATAGGCAAATTTGATATTCGATCTAAAGAATGTATTTTTATTGGCTATTCTGATGAATCAAAAGCGTATAGACTTTGGGATCGCGAGGCACGTAAAGTGATAATAAGGAGAGATGTAAAATTTATTAATGAATTTGAAAACTGCTGTAGTTATGACTCAGAGCAAGAAATCTGCCTTTCGCTCCGGAGGAAAAAATTATAAATAAAACATGTTGTGAAAAATCATCACCTCTGGACGGTAGCGAGTCGCCACTTGACTCTGAATCTGAAAAGGAAAGCGGAAATGATTTAGATAGTGAATCAATGCTTCCTATCCGGATTAAAAGGAGGCCTGGGCGACCCAAGAAAATAAAAACAGGTTTGCCAGGAAGACCTAAAAAGGAATATCACTGTACAGTTGTAAATAAAAATGAACAAACTCAAAATGCTGTTGAGGAAAGCATCAATCCTACGGTGCAAGAAGCATTAAATGGACCATATGCTGAAAATTGGCATAATGCCATGATGTTAGAATATAACTCGCTTGTTCAAGAAAAGGCTTGGGAATTAGTAAAAAGACCTGAAAACAAAGTTATTGGTAGTAAATGAGTTCTTAAATTAAAATATAATTAGGACGGCACTATCGAAAAATACAAAGCTAGGCTAGTTGCTAAAGGGTGCGCTCAAATCCCTACCTACCAGTGAAATGGGAGCTGATGTGTTAACCAAACCCCTGACTCCTGTTAAACATCAAAACTGTTGTACGATTGTAGGATTGAATACTGTTTAATATGTATTTTGTTTTAATTTTCAGGAATGGGAGAATCAACGTCGAAAGGGGGTATGTTGGCAACCGCCGTCGATTCCCCTAGCGCATGCGCATGATAAGCAAGTTCTCTGCTGCGTAATACTTATACTTAGTTAATA